GAAATAAAAGTGTTTTCCTTGAAATTTGCAGTTGATGGCTTTCTAGCATCAAATGCTTGAGCAGCCAGATTAAAGCTAGAATGGGGAAAACAAAATACCAAGAGAAGAGGCTCCATATGAACATTTTAACACACTGAAAACACAAGTTCTTCAGGAGAGGGGACAAACCTCAGTTACTAAGGAAGGCTCAGGACAAAAATGCAGAGCAGTTGCAAGTTTGACTGCCTTCCATGAGCAAAGTCTCACCACTAGCTACACCTCTGCTGTTTCACAACAGGCTACACAGAACACAGAGGAAAGTAAGAGGCAGAAAGCAGCATGTTGCTTCACGGAGTTTTCTCCACTTCCAACAGAGAGGATGGCAAACAGCCCTGCTGCACAGTCCAATTCTCAGCCCATTTATCACAGTTGCGTAGCTTTCCCCACTTCTCAATGAATTTAGTAGGGCTTACTCCTGGGATAAATATGCATGGGAATGCAGCCTTGTAAGATAGTAAATACAACCAGGACTGTGAATTGCATATTTGCTTAAGTGGCTCTGTAATATTTGAAGAAAAACAAACATGTCACGTTGTACCCAGGAACTTTAGAATAATGGTCAAAGTAAGTTTGTTACCAATGCAGCTATGATACATTTTCACAGTTGTTGCCAATGCAACAATTTCACAGTTTCTAGAGTAAACACCCTTCTTCAGCACACTAGAGTTAACTAGATGGTTTTAGATGAATGAGTAATAATGTAAAATTCTGTTTTCCTAAATTGCTAAATCATATAGACCACTAAAATATTCCAAGTGATTATGGCTATAATGGAGAATTGCGTAGTAATTACAGTGCTTAGAAACACCACTCTCAGGCCCACAGACAAAGTACAAAATGCTAAGAGTACAATCCAGCACGCAGGTCGTTTAAACCTCACTGACTTCAGTCTGCCCATGCTTACTCTGGAGTTAAATCTCACTGAATGCTGTACAACTTGCTTCCAGGAAATGGAAGGATTAGACTGTATTTAAGATTTCCTTCCTATGAGAACACTAAACTGTTAATTTATCCCCTCATCCATTCACCAAAAAAAATAAAAAATAAAAATCTCTAACTGTACGGAAGTTCTTGTAAGAGAAATTAACCATTAAAAACTAGTATTAAAAAACCTGAACTGCAACCAGAGGCAAGTCTGACCCGTTTTCTCAACTACTCTTTAGATCAGATCCTTTATTAGCATAGTATAGTAATTGGCATTTAAGGCATCTGTCATTGCCAGAAGCCCAGGGTCTTGTGCAAGATGTGACTTCATTTATATTATCTCATAAAGACTTCTGTATCATCATATTACATTTCTACACTACCCATAGCACATACCTCAGGGCAGTTCACAACAACTAAGTCATCCATCCAGATCTCAACCAGACCCAGCCCTGCTTAGCTTCCAAGATTAGGCAAGATCAGAGACTTCTATAGGGAAGCTGTACAGTAAATCATGTATATTATATATTTATAGTACTCTATGGAAGAACACGGTTATTTGCTCATTGTGAGTTTTCTGAATTCATGGGCTCCATTTCCAGCAATAGCCATTTTAGGGTTAGAGCTCTGTGCACCTTTCCACAGGGACTTGCACAGTAGCTTGGACTCACTCTCTGCCTTAGGCCTTCCCATTTACAAGTCTCTAAAGGTTAAGCACAGACAGACTTAAATTGTAAGTCTTTGCCTCTACTTACCACACTGAGATCCAAGCAACCTGGAGATGCTTGCTCACGGTTTTACACCTTCCTTCCTCACTTCTTGGCTTTACAGCAGCAAAATATCCAACACCCTTTGTCTGGAGCACCTGCCCTTTGCAGCAAGGTTTGTCTGTTTCTATGGGAGAAGATCCCCAAGCCTTTCTATACTTGATGTGTCTCCATTGTTTCCACCCAAAAAGGTTAAGTCTAGGATAGATACACCTGCAGTCCTTCTGTCTCTCCTGCTGCTTCTCAAAAGCACCAGAGCAGATGGTTGCGGAGGGAATCCTCTTCCTTACTGTCACAGCAGGCAGTCTTTTCCTTCTAGCCCTTCTTACCCACTTCCCTTCCTCCTGCTATATCCCAGAACTTAACAGCTCCTCCTGATGAGACCCAGCTGCTGCTACTGAGGTTTCGCTCTCCCCCAGCTGGACTAGCCTACCCTTATTAACTGGAGGCCCTTTCTGGCAGGCTTCCTTTCCACTTTTATCCTCAGATCTAGCTGCTTGGGTGTTTACAGTCAGAGCATGAAGATGACTTGACCCAGTAAGTCCTGCAGGCCAGTTACAAGCTGCCAAAAGAACTAGCCAATATTTAAAGAAATTCTTTCTGAGGCTGTTGCTAATATCTACCATTAAAGTACTAAGTTCCTTTACAAAATGTCCTGACTTTTTGGAACTATCACTAATTAAGACATCTGGTGGGAAATGCAAGAGAGACAAGTGTCACTATTCAGGTAGCTACAATTAGATCGCCTAAAACAGAACAAAAGCCATTCTGATAAAACTCTAACAGGTTATATGGAAGATGCTGGCACCTACTGACATTGTCTAATGCTCAGGCAATGGAAGGAAGACAGAAACTGGGCATTCCAACTCGGGCATGTCACAAAACAGAGTTGATGAGGTTCCATTCACCTGAATAACACCATGCAGACTATAAGCTTATTCAAGTTGTTTTCCATAATAAATGAGCCCTTGGGAGAGCAAAAGGTTTGTCAGCTTTTCCTTGGCCTAGAAACAGTAACCATAGGTTCTTGGATCCTCCAAGGACAAGTGAAGCCCAAAGAGCATGTGGCTTATAGAAAAATGAAAGACGGGAGGAGCTAAAAGGTGAACTGATTGAAGGTAGAAGTAGCCTCTGAAATCATGAGTGATATATGAGGCTTTGAAGCCTTCAGTCAGAGCTACATTACATAATGCAGCAACCTTGTTGAAGCTAAGCAGATCTGGTCTCTGGCAGGATGGGAGACCACCCATGTAACCACATATACACTGCTTGTGCTCGATCGAGGGAAAGCAGGATATATATAGTAAAGAGAGCCAGTGTGGTGCAGTGGTGAAGAGCTGGGACTGGGCCACCCGGGTTCGAGTCCCCGCTCAGCCATGGAGCCAACTGGGTGACTTTGGGCCAGTCCCAGACTCTCAGCCCAATGCACTCACAGGGTGGTTGTTGTGGGGATAAGATGGAGGAGGAGAATGATATAAGCCTCTTTGAGTTCTTTAAAAAGAAAAAAGGTGGGATATAAATCTAATAAATAAATACGGTAAAATGTCATTACTGCCATTACCATACAAAGGTAATACAAGCTAATTAGGGCCACCCAGAAAGCAGCTTCAAATTTTTTCAAACAAGAAAAGTCTAGATTCTAGAAAAAGTCATTGGTAATCATGTATCTTCGTATTAAGCTTTAGGGAGCATCCCTTACATCCGCTCCAAAATCAAATGATTGACATATTGACTGTAACTCTTACTATCCAGTAGCTCTCTCTCACATACATGTATATGGTTGAAATGTAGCAGTCATTAGGGCTCGTTAAAGTAGGCATTTCAAGGGACAAAGCCCGGCACTCTTGAGGGCTGAAGTTCAAGGGAGGTGGAACAGAAGAAGTGGATAATTCTTCTGGAAGTTCAGAGCCTTTCTAAATTTAGAAATGAACAGAAGCAGTTTACCCCTACACTTCACTGTTAGTGCAGGCAAGAGTTTAATGCTGCGGGAAGAGAAGCGCTTGATTGCTGAAATAACTATACTGCCTTTCTATAATGCTCTTCCAAATGTGTTTTTTGGACCAATGGTCCAAAACATATAAACGATAACAAAGATTGGAATAAACAGCTGCGGGTTGAGAAAATAGGTATGAGCTACTCGTTAAGATCCCTGTCGGAGCAGCAGGCTACGCTAACACCCAGTTCCACAGCACCCTGAATATGTCCACTGCTGCTTTCTCAATTATCCACTCAGGTACTTCTTGTTCTGTCATTTGAATTTGGGTGCCATGGCTGCTTGAGAGGAAAATGACCCACAGCCTGCCTGGTAATACTAAGCAGCTGCAGAGGTTGCTATGACTTTTTGATGAGAGATGGATGGGGGGGGGGGGGACGACGACACTAACACTAAATGACACTAACACGATTCTAACGCTCAGGAAATACAGCAGTACAAAACCTAGTTGCAGAGCAAGATGGAAAAGAATGGATACATCCGTCTTTTAGACCTAGAATTACCAAACAAGGAATACACAGAAAGAAATGGTGGTTAATACTATACAGACCCAGATCAGGGTGTATATAAGGAAGTATGCATAGACTGGAGATATCTCAACAGTTCACAAGGGGGCTTATTCAGTACAGTGATCCAATCTGGGAAGGAAAGACAAGAGATAAACGAATCGAGAGATCAACTCCTACGATTCTGTGAAATGTGGATAGTGGGGAAACCCATCTAGCCAAAGTGCCCTGGAGGAAATGTCACACCTAGGGAGAAAATCGGGGGAGAAAAGGGCAACACAGACAGGGAAAGAAAGGAACTACTTCCAGCCCCGGCTGGTCGATGTATCGTTTTCCAGCTGCGAGCAGCCTGCGCTGAAAGGCATCTTAGCCACGGACCCGCGGCAAAATCCGCCGTCCGGGCAGGGCGAGCGCGGCGCAGGGCCAGAGCGGCGGCTGGGGGGCTCGCCTGCGAAGAGCAGCGGGGACTCCGGGCGGGCAGGGGGCGAAGCGGGCCGGGCGCGCCGCGCTCGCGGGAGGCCAGGTGGAGAGTTGGGGGAGTTGGAAGTTCGGCGGCGGGGACGGCGCGATCCGCAAGCAGGGGACGCGGGGGGGGGGGGGGGGGGGTCGCGGACTCCGCGCGCCGCGCACTCCGGCTCGCCCCCGAGCCGCGAGGGGAGCGCGGAGGAAGGCGCCCGGACAGGTGCCCGCGCCGGGCGCCCCCGCCGCCCCGGCCCAGCCGCCCCCCGCCCGCCCCAGCGCCCCCCCGGCCCGCCCGAGGACGGCGCTCACCTCTCCGCCGGCGCCGGCGGCTCTGCCCCCGCCGGAGCCCTCCATGAGGCCGGCCGCGGCGGGGAGCAGCAGCGGGGGGGCGGGAGGGCAGAAGGGCTCCGCTTCGGGCTCCGGCTGAGGCTCCTCCGCGCCCTCCGGCGGCGCGAAGGGCACCATGTCGCCACCGGCGCTACTGTCGTCGCCGGCCTGGTGGCGGGGGCCGCGCGGCGCCCCCCGCGCCTCCGCCCGCGCCTCGCCTCTCCCCCGTCCGCGCCCGCGTCCTCGATCTCGCCCAGGCGGCGCCGCGGCGGGCAGGGACGGGGCCGCCGCTCATGCTCTTCCCCCCTCCGAGGGGCCGCGGAGAAGGGGACCCTCCGCCCGGTCAGCACCGGCGGCGGCGGCTCCCCGCGAGGCAGCGCTGCGCTCGGCTCATGGCTCCCGCCGGCCTCCCCCGGCGCCGCTGGCTCGGCCCATCGAGGCGGCGGCGGCGGCGGCGGCGGCGGCGCTGCTGCCCGGCGAGCGGGGGCGGCTCCGCGCTGCGCCGGCCTCCCCGCCCTCCCCTAACATGGCGGGAGGGGAGGGGGCGAGGCGGGAGGGGGCGGGCCCCGGAGAGCCGCGAATGCGGGCGGGCGGGGAGAGTGACGTCAGGCCCGGCCGGAGATTCCCCCCGCGGGGAGGGGGCTGCCGGCGCCGCGCGAGGGCGGCGGGGGCCGCCGGGGGCCGGGAGGCGTGACATCAGCCGTTGCGCAAGCGGGGCGATGACGTCGCGGGCCGTGACGCCGGGGCATGCCTCGTCCCCGCGCCGCCCCGCGGCCCCCGAGCCGGTCCCCGCTCCCTGCTCCCCAGCCCCCGCCGAGAGTGCTGGGCGCAAGCGGCGAGGGGGCGGCTGGCCGGATCAGGCGGGCGAGGGCCGGTGCGCCTGCCGCCCGGTGCCAACCGGAGAGGCTGGCTGCGCCGCTTTCAGACGTGGCGAGCCGGGGGCAGGAGAGGTGGGATGGGGAGAGGCGTGTTAGCGGAGCCGGGGGCTCCTGGAAGCCCATCGCGCCAGTATGTGAAATCCTTTTCGCAGATTCGAAAAGGGGTTCCCGCAGTTCTAATCCAGCCAAGAACTGCCCCAGGTGCCAAAGGTTTGAAAAATAGTGCTGCCTCGCACAATGAGCAAGCCTTTATCTTCGGGGAAAGGGCTTCTACCTGTCAGGATTTAAAACATGCGCGAAGCAGCAGAGTAGGGACACGACCGACCCTCTTCGTTTTAAATTCTTGCGTGATTCAAAATACATCCTTGCTATTGGAAATACCTGCTCGGAACCCCACGCACGAGTCAAGACCGCAGCAGCTCAAAGGCTGAATGGCAACGAGTGGGAAAAGTTCCAGTGCTTCTTCCTTAGGGTCAGATGGGCCCCCAGGAGCAAGCTACAAGTCCCGGTGGGGTATCCAGAACGCGTGGGGGCAGTTTGGGATCCTGGCGCGTTCGGCAGCACTCTCTCGTCTTGCACTGGCTCCTGACAGCCAGCGCAAGGCTTTTGTGATTTGCCACCACCTCGCTGTTTTCCCTGCGATGCTTTCCTCCCCCAGTTCCACCCCTTTGGAACAATCATCACAATGCTGCTTTCATTCCCCAGTCCCAGGGCCACTTATCTCCTGCCTTTGCCGGACCCTGCACTGGATGCACAGTTGGCAGGCATTGGCTTGGGAAGCACTCAGTGACAACACTACGGACGCGATGGGTGGTGCTGGATCAGAAGTGAAGACCCACCTGCTTCACGGCACCCTGCTTCCCTCCCCATTGCTCCATTTCACATTCCTCCCCAAATGGCTTTTCGTTGTTTTAACAGAGGGCTATTGAGGTTTCATTGCACCTATTTGCGTGGGATGTTTACTTACGTCCTAAAATCATCTTATAGTTCATATCTATTGCAATTGCTCCTGTCCTCAGTAAACTAATAGACCATTTCTTCTCACATTTCTTTCTGACATTCCTTGATTTGTTGACCAGCCCTCAGCCTCCCTCCCTGCCTGCCTAATTTTCTTTCCTTAATCCTTTCCACATACTATCTTTTTTCCGGCCCTTTTGCCATCACAATAATCCAGTGACACATGCACCGCACAGGCAAAATATGCCTAATACCTTAACCTTTATGCATATCTAAAGATCTTCTAACGATCCAAACAAGTGCAGCAGACAGTGAAAGAGAAAAAGAGGAGCTGTGGGGTTTTTTGTTTTTTGTTTACAAAGGGCAGGTATTAGGAAACAGGGAACACATCAGCTTTGTGGTAATTGTAACAATGACACGTCTCCAAATTTCATGGAAATGTTGCACTTTTAGATTGGTATTTCCAAAACAAAAAAATGAAGTTGTTTTGATGCCCTGGCTTAGGTCTGGCTTTGCTGAAATCTTTTAGAGCACTACAGAAGCAACAAGACGGATGCTGCTTAGGCCTGTCTCTTCCCTGCCCCCTTTTCTTTTTGTAACATTGGCAAGAAGAGAAAACCGTCTGGTGCACCACATGGTTCAGGAATGGGGCTGGGGTGTGTGTGTGTGTGTGTGTGTGTGTGTGTGTGTGTGTGTGTGTGTGTGTTCAGAGTCAGTGATCACATGATAAATCTGAGTACAAGCTACAGGTTGTTGTAGGGTTGTTTATCTGAACAAGCTGGGAAGAGCTACATTTTATTCAACTAACCATAACACATTGTAACACTACTGTGTGATTCCAAAGAAATGAATGCCACAAAGTGTTGAAAAATATGCACACAAAACCATATCGTGAATCATCTTCCCTTTTTTTAAGGAAAAATTGTGGTGTTCTTGTCAAAAGCCAAGAAACTTGGACAGATTCTTTCAGAAGAAGGGCTGTATCCAAGCCAGCAGTTGGGTTGACCCAACTAAGCTGTTCTGAGACTTTTGTACAGGATGGGATAAAAATGCCCCAAATCAATAAAATGAGCTAGCACTGAATAGTGACTTTCCAGTGACTTAGGCAGAGAAATTTTCCACCCTAGCTGCCTGAGCTCCTCTATGCATACGTACGATGTATGTAATGGGACACACAGTTATTCTGGGTGTGTGTGGGGGGGAGGGGAGTTGAAAAATTCGTAAAGAAGGAAAAATTGTAAAAAATATATATACTTGACAGGGTGAATAAAGTGTTGCTTTGTAAATGTTTCAGTAGCTCATATATCACCTTGAACATTGTCAGGACTAGTCCACCTAGAAGAGTTTTATTATATGTGTTTTCCAAATAAGCATCTAAAACAGCTTTGCATTTTTCCAAGAAAAGACTGTCTTCAATTGTCTGTACTTTTTTTACCACTAACACATTGACCAACCAAACTTGCCTGTTGTGCTACCCCAAGCATTAAAACATTAGCAATTATCCTTTGTTGTAACTTTTTCTAAATACCCGGACTCCGAGATATCTCTCAGTCTTCTTGTACAGAAAAATTAAGGAAAACAGCTCGAAGTGAACTACAGAATACATTCACTCCGTGTCTGTTTTGTGTCTAGTCACAATACCAACGCTTAAATGGCTGGTATAAAGCCAAAAAAGGACTAAGCAATACAAGTTTCATCTGAGAAAACAATGAGTTATACTGGAGTCAGGTTCACCTCAAGATATCCCTCACTGAATTGGAGATAATACCCTACCTCAAAGGTGAAGCAGGAGAGTCCTAGAAAGGCCATTTGGCATTGGGACTTTTCTCTGATTATTCCAGGTTGGGCCCTGCTTTGACAGGGACTGGAGTGCATGAACTGTAGCCAGTAGTTTTTAAGTTTGCTTTTGGGTGTGTAGTTTGTAGAAAGCTATCCTCTGCCACAGAACTGTTACTATTTACCCTATCACGATGTTATAAAACAATTGTAAATGCACACGTACTTTATAAAGTATTATTATTCTGTTAACTGTTGCTTCTGTCAGCCAAGATGAAAAATCACCTTATTTTAGAAAGACCGATTGCTGTTTCTTGATTTATTGCCATGGTAACTCCAAGGGTACCTAACAAACCCTACGACAAGCCATGGGCTGTCAGGGTAGATTATAAAACAAGGCAATGGGCTTATAAACCACGCCAAGTAAACCATGATGTGTTCACACTTCACAACAAAGCACCATGACATCAATGCCTGAGGTTGGGGTTCTCCAGTTGTTTGAAGCCAGACTATGAATAACCATAAACAAACCTTAAGAATCCTTGATAATGGCTAGTCTGGGATGATTAAATTGTCAGTCGAGACTGATTGTGATGGTACTTCTAAGCAAGAGGCCTGATCTTATATTTTGTAGTACAGGCTGAGACATCAGTTAGGCAGAGTAGCAGAAGAAACTGGAAAGATTAGGACATGGGGCTAATTAGGGACTTTGGAGGAGATGGGCAGAGGAGGACGAGTGAGCTGAATAGAAAGTGGCACTGGAAGAAATGGGGCAATGTCTGATTGGCAGTGCAATAATGGAACTTTACAGCCAGTGATCCCATCTTGTGACCTATCTGGCCAGAGACCACAATGTATCAGCTAAAAAAAAAATCAAGAAAGGAAATACTATTGTAAAGTAACTAGCAAAAGCTTTAGCTGCATAACTCTAGTAAATGCACAGGTTTTTCCAGCTGGTATGATTACAGAGCTGACATATATTTGCATAGTTTACCTCAATTGCTTTCTCTTCTTTCATAATGAAAGCTACTTTCAAACCTTCTGTTCAGCTCCCTCAGAGGCCCAGCTTGATTCATCAATTCTTTATTTGGACTTCATATCTATACTACATCAGCTTTATTCTCGATGATGTCACCCACTAATGGACATTTAATCTTTCCTTCATATTCCAGCTTCTAATGTTGATTTACTGTCATAATGCTCACTACTCAGAATTCTCATTAGCACTCTATTTCAGGAACACGTTCTTTTCCGAGAAAGTATTTAGAAAGATTTTATGTCTGTAGTTAAAAGCGATACTAATCTGAATTGGGCTTAAACATATGCAGAAAGTTAAATATATTCATAAAAGTTTTCCTATTTCCAGCACCATTAAAATTAATGTAAGAAAGGTTTCAAGATTCTCTTCCATACAAAATGTCATCTATGGGGAATAAGCAGAGTTATTAATTGGGGTGAGCAAAGGG